TATCCTACTTTCACAACTCTCACCTCACCCCTATCTACATTTCGTTTGCTCCATCCGCTGTCCAATCATGGTCTGTTTCAATTCGTTCTTACGGAGTTTACCGATAAGCTAATACATTACAGCCAAACATCAGAGAGCTCCCCAACGAGCTTTTGCTGTGGATTGTGTCGTATTTGGACGGTAGTGCATTATTTGCCCTCGCAAAATCATGCAAAAACTTTGATTTTAAACTGCAGCCCAGCATCTGGAAATACAACATCAAATTTCAGAACAGCAATCTGTTGCACTTGGCCGTCAAATACGACAACGTTGGTCTTGCGGAGGCTTTGCTCCAGCACAACGCCAACATCAATGCATTTTACCGCGGCAAAACTCCTTTCATGAGGGCGCTCAAATACTCGTCCGCTGCTGTGCGTGACCTCTTGCTCAGTCGTGAAGACCTAGATATCAATATTCAAAATCAAGCGCGGGAGAGCGCCCTGTGGTATGCCATCCGCTATGGAAACCTTTCCGCGGCCAAGAGCGTCTTAAATCAACCGAACGTCCAGGTGGACGTCAAGCACAAACACGGCCGAACGGCGCTTCACCTAGCAGTCTTCGCAGGCCGAATAGGGCTCGTGCATCTGCTACTTTCTAGAGGCAGCGACCCTGATCTACAGGATGATTCGGGCCACTCGCCATGGGACTGTGCACGTCGCTTCAATAGGCCCGCGATGGAAATGATTTTTTCAAACGATCCGATGGCTAAGGTATTTCTTGGTACTCAATCATCGCAGGATGCTGAGCTACCTCTTCACCAAACGGTATCCTATGGGTCGGTAGATGCTGTCAAACGGCTTCTCGGACAAAAGGGCCTGAGTTTGGACATCCAGAACCGGAATGGCTATACGCCGCTCCATCTCGCCATTCGAAACAAGCGCCTGGAAATGGTTAATTTTCTCCTAAGTCACCCCCGTGTCAACGTGAACTGCAAAGACAAAGATGGCAATACGCCACTTTTGTTGATATAGGAAGGTTTTAAGTCTGCACTGTACTGACATTTATAGAATTACATCATGGACCAGCAAGTCAGACAGTGCCTGTGAGAGATGTGATACCCAGCAGATCCACTGTGCCACCCATGCCAGCCGATCAAAGAGACAAAACTTGGGCTGACCAAAATGTATGTTATTTGCGAGCATCTCTCTCCACCATAGCAGCCAACTGAGCTGATCTACAGTCCCGCCCCTGGATGTATCCCCAAAGCAAAAGCGCGAATGTTCATATCGCAAGTATGTGACTCTCAGCCCGATCCTGTCTGAAAATGGACTGACATCAAAGACCATGCGAAACAACCAGATCCTTGCATTCCTACAAATATACACCAGCGCAAAAACCACGGAGCTCTTTTCCGCCTCTTCGTCCCTGGTCTTGACCACCAGAACACGGGAGTCATGTAATGCCTGTCCGATCTACTAGCTAATTATTGGCAGCGAATCGTTAACAGCGTACTAGAGTGGCCCCCCGAGGATCCAGCACCACCGTCAGTGCTTTGCGCAAAGCCATGGCCAGCACACCATTTCTAGTCCCGTCGCGTCAAAATATGCAGCATGCCCCAGGTGAGTTACCGTGAAGTATAGCAGCGGGCCAACAACAGGGGTGCGGGCAAACACTTGGGAACTCGTTGCGCAGAAGCTTGAGAAGTCCGTTCTTCATGGTAAGGTGAGTGAGTTATCGCGCCTTCTGCTGCGCCGGATCCGAACATTTGTGTCAAGTCTTGTGCCCCAAAACACGAACACCATTATTGACATCTTCAGGCCACCGGAGGAGCAGCCCATCATCGCCTGCGAACGCTATTTTGGCGAGTGAGCTCTTTCCGCCGGATCAGAGATACAATGGAAAGACCAAGGTGGCTACGACGCGTGCTCCATCGCGTCTTCCGCCCTCGTCCTCACCGCCTTCACATTATGAACAGCAGCCAGAACCTCTGGCCGTACGATAGGAGGAATTCTCAACAATCCGACGCGACGTCTGGTTTCCTTCGCGCCGCGAAATATTCTCACATTGCGACCGTACGATTTCCTGTTACAGGTGCACTCATCACGCGCAATCCGCCACCTCGGAAAATGCCCAGTTCACCACCACGGCGCACCCCCAGCGCACCCCACCGCGACCAACTTAGATATAACGTAGCGAATTCTGGACGTATGATGACTGCATTGCTGAAGAAACCTGTAAGTGGTCTCCAGTTGGTAGTCTGCGAAACGACATTCTGCAGCTCTCGGCATTATCGCGAGGCTAATTTATCAGGCGTACACAACATTTCCACACGCTCATTAAATCCGATCATCTGGAAAGTCAAGAACGGCTTTGCATCATCAGGCATAGAGCATACGCCTCATTGCGGGGAATGGAAGAAACTGAACACAGTGTACACTCTGGGAACACTTGACGAACTGGTAAGCTACAACCGCAACTTGTCCAATTAGATCAAGCCTTGCTGACTCGGATCATATGCCAGAAGGATACCCTAATCATTTATTTCACTTAGGTCGAATGCGAAGTGACCAAGTATACAGCCCGCTCGAGCTCCCCTATACCAGTACGGCGGCACGAGTTCCCGAACACACTACGATCGCATACTGTCTGTCGATCAAGCGCTTGCCGAAGGTGAAAATACCCGTCATTAGGCAGATGATAGGCTTTTCTCGCAGTTTGGAGGCCTAGAGTCGTTGTCGCTACTTTGTTGGCCGTCTATCGATGGCCCATTTGGAACTTCCACTAGGACTACTGGTGGCATCAACGACGAGTCACCGTGAGGTGCAAATCGTCTACTTCGGCCCCTTTCTTCCGCTAGATCGGGTGCACCAGATCATGGGATGATTTGTCTGCCTGATACATGATCCAAACTCCAATGAGCGCATATCACTGTCCGACTCATTCTGTGCGTTGAGTTCTTGGGCTTCTAATGGGTGACCTTCCTTTTCTTCGGATTATCTCTGGCGTCTTTCGAATTCTGAAGATTGCGAAAGACACCGAGAAACACTGATACTTTCATCTTGCTTCGTGGCAAGTGAGCCCTGCGCTCGCAGCCGGCTAGGATATTGGTCCCAGTTCGTGTGCAAGGGGACGGTGAGGCGGTAATGCTGTCAATTATGGCCTAGCAAGTTAAGAATGCTCATCTCAGCTACGAATTGAGAGGACGAGACCATCTTTTATCCCAAGGCACTGCCAAACGAACGAGAGAGCACATGACACCAGAATCACCGTCTCGTATAGGTCCACTTGATCCCACCCTGCGTTTGCTGAACTGTTCGACGCCCCTGAGCGAACGAAAACGAATAAATCGGACGAACACGAAGTTGCACCAGGAGGGGCTGCCAGAATTGTTGTGATGTCTCCTGTTGGATAGAAGGTTGGTAGATCTCATTCCCCGGCAAGCAGACCTCGTGTATCCCTTTTGCATTGACACCGTCTTCTAGCATATCGCGATTCGCGACGTAAGCATGTCTTCCAGGAAATCACCAAATTATTTATGTCCCCTACGTCCACTGTCCTCTGAGCATCAATTATGATGTTTGTCATGTTCACCGCACTCTGAACGACACGTGCCATATCACTGGTCGAACAGACTGTTTTATTATCAAGGTGGCTTTGATGTCTGAAATAACGTTATCAAAGCTCCCCGGCTTTTGGGACCTCTTGGACTAGCTTCTACATCTTGTACTGGAATTTTCACTGCTAATTAGCGCTCGTGTCATATTTGCTTTCGGGATGAAGGCTTAGGGGTTCTCTTGGGAGCAAAGCAGCTCCTACAATCGCTTCGTATGTTCCCAAGGTCTATCCTATTTAGGAAGCAGCGAATATCTATCGAGATCTCCTACCAAACGTGCGATCGACGACGAACACCCCGTGTCAGGTTCAGCCAAAATCTCACTCGAGGGAATCTCCCGTAGATGATACTTTCATAGTCAGCTTTGGATTTTTATCGATATCTCTTGGCTGCACTTGGGGACGTTAGACTTTGTGATCAACCGATGTATGCCCCGTCCCTAGCAAGCACCGAGACTTCAGACACTGGATTGATATTGAGAACAAGTATAGTTGACATTAGATACAAGACGTAGCACGAGGAAGCAAAAGAAAGGCGGCTTCCTCGCGTTCAGGTAGCATACTCCCAGGAAAGGTTGAGTCAATTCAGGAAGACATGGAATAGTCCCAGGTTATGTGTTGCTTCTGTTTTGCTAATGAAAGTTCCTCGGGTAGAATAAATGTCTTCAGAACGCACGGAGTACTTTGATAGGAGAGACTTACACCCGAGAGAGCTCAGTTCTTATCAGTTTTTGTTGTAGTTGGTATTCCTGAGGGGATTCAATAGACCGTAAATACAAATGGAGTCCAGCAGGTTTTCGATCAGCTTGGTTCTCCGTACAGACCGTGCAGGACATATTTTGCAATGTTGCGGGTTCATAACCGGATCAGCACAGCCTCATATCACAACGAACATCAATCTCCGCCTAGGCTGAGAACAGCCATTATGCCACATTGGACTTCATAGAATCCTCAGGTGGGATCGTACCAAAATTCTGATTCCCTCTCGCCTCAAAGTAGTGGCCGGTTGCGATTTTCTGCGTGCCATTACCGAACAAATTATACTGGCGATTATTATCGCCGTACTGGTTGGCAGCGCCGGGCTGGTCGGCCAGATTGGAATCGGCCAGTGATGGAGACACCTCCGCCAGTTCCTCGAGAGCCTTCGCCAACGGCTCGACCTGCCTCTTCATCTCCGCCAAAAATATGTTGTGCGCAACTAGGACTCCCAAATCTTCCAAAATGCCGGCCATCAGCGTCTCGACACGATGCTTGCCTGGCTTAGTAACAATTGCTCGGTACACGGAAGAGTCATATTGGCCCTTTGACTTTTTGCCGATTTTCTCGAAGATTTCTAGCATATTGTTGGCTTTCTCGTCGCAGCTATGCAGGACAGTTTCCAGTCCCTGGGTGTCGTCGGTGGACTTCAATTTCTTCGCCGGGCTCTCGGCATCTCGAAGGGTTTGTTCAAGCAGAGGAAGTCGTCTATTCACTTCTTGGAAGGCTTCGGGTAGACTAGAGAGATTTTTGATCGAGTCATATGCCTCAACTATGTCTTCTGTCACCCCGATGAGGCCAGCAATCTGGCGAGAAATATTGGGACCTGACATTATGCCCTAAATAACTGCAGGGAGGGTTGATTAGGAAATATAAGACAGGACATAATGTAGACAAGTCAATTCTTACATTAGTGAAGAGCCAAGTCTCTACTCTTCGCTGATCGGGAGGCTGTCTCAGAGGGAAAGGCAGAGAGTGTGATGTAGGGCGGCACAATTCTCACTCCCGACTCGAGCATGCAGATCTTCTGCCTAGAGATCTCGTGGTGGTTATTGTTTCGGAATTTATAATGTCCTTTGCTCGACGCGTCGCTTGCTTACGACCATTCCCTTTGGCACAGGCAGCCACGACATGCACTAAGGGCGGCGGACGCTTGGAGTTAGGAAGTCATGATGAGGCGGGGTGCCACCATTAGACCCAGGCCCTCCCTCCTTAGGCGGCGTGATGTCGGCAGATTGATTCGCTGATCCCGGCGCGAATAAATAGCTCGCTTACCTGATCGCGCTAGTCCACCCTCCACTGAAACGCCTCCTGCCAGGAGTGCCGCCATGTTGCCTGTCTCCAATAACGACAACCCAGCTCGTTCTTCTCAGGGCGGTTAATATGACAGCGAATCATGGGTCTTGTCCGTCAGGGTGATGTGTCAATTAGGAGGATACGGGTATTGAAAAAGAATTCAAAACAAATTGAATTGAAGAACACAGATCGAGTTCTGTCAGATTACCAAACAAACAGACAGTGGATCGAGTACATGCTAAAACAATTAATTATTCCTCTGAACTACAACAAGGGGAACTTTCTTAGGGGACTTGTGCAAAGCAAACCTAGTACAGTAGAAGTGAGTAGTCCAGATTTACTGTTAATAAAAAAACACCCACACCGGCACAGCTCCCACGAATTCGCTATCTCCAGTCATCCTCTAAGCGCCCCAAATTATGTGCGCAATTGGAAACCTATAGGGCTATTCAACGCCATCCCGTAACCGCTGAGCACGGCTCGCACTGAGACAATTCATCACCCACAGCGCTAAAGCGGGTGTGACAGATGCTGCCAGGGTGCGTTTTTGCCTGTCCCAAACACCCGATTTTTGATTAATTATCACTGAGCCCCACTGTCGTAGGTAGATAAGAGTATGCCGTTTATAGAAATTGCTATTTCCTTTCGCGCGCCCGCTTGCCCTGTCGCTGACCTAATCAAGGGATTATTAGAAACGCTCTGCCTGGAGATGATTTGACTTGGGAGGGCTGATGTATCGCAAAGCCTCCCTGTTTGCCGACAGTCCATCTACGTCTAACTAGGAGTCCTTCAGAATCAAAAGACCAATCGTAATCCCCTTCCTAAATTCTTGCATATAGATAGAAGAACCTACCAGCAAGCCCTTTGGAACGAGCCGCGGGCCCCGAACCTCCACCGATGTGACGAATGGAGGAGGACCCGCTACCAGACATAATGGTGTCACCCCAAAGAGAGTTTGCAAGCTAGCGCTTAGACTGAGCGCGTACATTGATGGTGCAGCCTTCTGAGCGGTAGAGCGGCTTAAGGCTGGAATGGAAGGCTGTCCCTATAAAAGGGAGCTAAATGTCGGGGCACCTAATCCATCCTCACCAGCCAGAGTTAAGGTGCAATTCCAGACTTTGGGTATACTTAGCAGGACCTGAAATATATTCTGACGACAATAACAAATGCCATCATTCATGCGTACCAGGATGAAGCGATTCCTGCGGCGACGGCGGGGTTTAGACATAGATCAGGATAATATACCTGAACACGTGCCGAGAAAGACCTTCCCTACCGGCATCAAATTACTCTGTAGCCCAGATGATGGAAAGATCGAGTGCGTACCCTTCTCGATTGGAAAACATCCCTAATATTCCTCTTCTAGCATCGTCTTCGTTCACGGCCTGACTGGTGATCGCGAGGTGACATGGACTGCCCGAGATGCGACCGAACCCTGGCCCCAAACCCTCCTCCCTCCCATACTCCCGACAGCCCGCGTCCTGACATTTGGATACGACGCGTATGTGATCGACTGGAGAGGCGTAGTATCGCAGAACCTTATCGCTAACCACGCGTGGAATCTGCTGACATCTCTTTCATCGTACCGAGAGAAAGATGGCACGGTAGGGCGCCCAGGTCTATGGATATCGCAGCTCATTGACACGCACAGAATGAACGGCCAGTAATTTTTGTCTGCCATAGTTTGGGGGGACTGGTCTGCGAGGATGTATGGTACCGCCTTATTTCCTGGGATTACGCTAACTCCCGTGACAGGCTTTGCTCAAGTCGAGGCAACGATCGGAGCAATATCTCCACAATATCGTTCGTTGTACACGTGGTATTATGTTTCTAGGTACGCCGCATCATGGAGCTGGCCTTGCCAGATGGGCCGAGGTCGTGTCCAGATCTATCGGGCTAGTCAAGCAGACGAATTCCGATATCGTCGATGTCCTCAGACGCGACTCCGAGGTGCTTGCGCGGATTCAAGACGGCTTTCACACGATGGTCAAAGCGCGCAGCGTAGTAGAGCCGCCCCCGATTGAGGTCACTTGCTTCTATGAGGAGCTACCCGTGGTGGGAGTTGGTTTAGTAGGTCGGACAAAGCCATGCTTCCTACCCAAACACTGACGCTTTGGCAATAGGTCGTGCCACAGGACTCGGCCATCCTGCCTGGTTACGTTCCCATCGGGATACACAGCAACCATATGAATATGGCTAGGTTCGCCAATGTCGACGACCCAGGGTTTGTGGCTGTTTGTGGAGAGCTGCGTCGGTGGATTAGGGACGCGGAGGGAAACAAGAGACGCCACGAGAATTCATCACAGGTCGAGCAGCCTGGTATTGCCAACCAATACGGCGATAATAATCGTCAGTATACCCTGGTGGGTGATGGCACACAGAAAAACGCGGAAGGCCACCTTTTTGAGGCGAAGGGGGATCAGCACTTTGGTATGATCCCGCCTAAGGAGGCTGCAGAGAGAAAGGGGGCATAGGAGCCGTTCTCGGCCTAGAAGGATATCCAGGTTGAGAGTAGGCCTTGACAATGGAAAACTTATTTTATTCTAGTATGCCAAGTATTTCTTATTACCTTGATAAATTTAGCATGGGACTACGGCTAGAGTTTTAAATTGTGGTGAGTGTTGATGTGGTGAGAGTGCGATGACCACCCACTTTCACATCAACACTCACATCAACACTCACATCAACGCTCAAATAAACTTCCACGGCTCACCACAACAAAAATTTCATCAAAACAAGCATCCCAGCACAACAAGCATCCCAGCACGACACTCACATCTCTGTTTGCTCTACATCTAAATGACAGGTGCTAATTCCTATTGCGGCGATGGGACTATCGGACCGTAAACTGTTAAGGTAAAAGAATTGGAGATACGTCCTTTGATAACGAAGACACTTCAGTTGTTATTTTATGATTTTGGCCATTAAATTCGCGAAGATCTATCTACGGTTCATTCCATGTATCCAATGATGATCCTTTGGAATACGAAACAGATAATGAATATGTTGCGCAGGTCTTGGCTTCTTCGAGTGCCCCTTGAATTACTCGAATACTAGTCCCCAACTAGCCTTCACTACCACGCGCAGCCGGGCGCCGACCGACGGAAACTCCCACATGTGACACCGTACTGCACGGATTAATGCACCATTTGTCAACAAGTGAATTACGGCGATGTCGAGCTTGAGCTTAGGCTTGGTCACGGGAGAGGGGTTTGAGTGAGGTGGAGGGAGGCCAAAGAAGGGTGTGTGTGGGTGTTAAGACGTGGGCCGCATGCACCATGGCCAATCAAAAAAAAGAAAAATTTCAAGAAGCAAGTCAGTGTCTTAAAACTAGTTTGGAATCCTACATTAAGCAGAGTATATTGGGGGCATTGACAGACCCACTAAAGCCTAGAATGCAATAAAGCTAATGAATGAGTAGAAAGAGTCCACTGGTGTGTTGTCTAGTGGCGAGTTTGGAGAATAGGGCCCAGGCATCCAGATCCTGTACTGTTAGATGAAATGATGGGTCATTTTCTCACATTTCGCCTGCTTTTAAAGCTCGGGCCCCTCTCTTTCTGTTGATCTTATGCCCTGATATCCTTGGTTTGGAAAATTTGTGGGAACCGTCATCGGCTTACTTGCCTTTACTGGACAGGTGCTGCACCTAGTAAGTGACAACACCAAGGGGCCCTTACAGTTTCTTGAGAAGGCAAGCATGGATAATCTGCACGCATGCATGTCGGCCATGGTGCAATCACGGGCGAATCGACTCCAGCCACGTTACGCCTCGGAAACGGATATCGTTACCCGAGCTATGCAGTAAAATTGGTACAAGATCGTTGAAGACTTCCACCTCGATTGGGGCCCAGTATATTTCTCCCCATTTCAGCCAAGAAGAGAATTTGAACAATGGACCCAGCATCAGCAGCCGGTCTCGCAGTTGGGGTGACATCATTAGTGTTTGACGTGTTCGATAATTCTGTCAAGCGTCAGTTTGTCTTTTCTATTCAACGGATGAGTCTTTAAGAATCTAATAAATCCTTAGTCTTCAAGTTTCTCTCTTCTATGGTGGACATGCCAAAGGAATGTGAGAAATGCCGACTGCAATTAATGATCGAGTACAACCGTCTCCTTGCTTGGGGTGAGGCGGTTGGCTTAATTGATGTTCCCGAAGGATCACATGTGGCAGTGGCCCTTGGAACGAATGCCATTGAGCTCTGTAGCATTGTATCTCGAATTGGGTGGCTTCTCGGAGAGTTCAAAGCTATCAATGCCCGTTGGAAGAATGAGCTCAACCCATACCAAGGGAATGATCAAGCAACATTGGAGGAGTGTATGAAAATGAATGTTGTGCAAGAGGTTTCAAGCTTGGCGGTAGCCTATGAGCGGACCAAGGAAGAACGCAGGCACTTACGAGGGACCGACCACATTATCAAATGGATGTTGAAAAGAGCCGGAAATGCTAAAGAGATTGTAACTCACCCTTTTCGCGTTCGATGGGTTGCAGTGGATAAAGAAGCTTTTGAGGCATTGCTTAAGGATATCCACATCTTGACTGATCGTATCCACGAGTTGATGGGAGACTACCGCCAGAAACGGGTCCATGCTGCTACTGCGAAAACCTATCGAGAGATGATTCTCGTTCGTGACGACGTCAAGGAGCTTAAAGACATGCTTGAAGCAATCACCAGTTTGATCAAGATTTCCAAGGTCTCCGGCGACACAAACATCACCATTTCCAACGAGAATGACGAGACACTTCGAGATCTTTTGCGGTTGAAGACAATCAAGCATATATCAAATGAAATCATCTTGAAGGTCGAAAATGGTGCAAATTTTGACTTTGAGAAGGAGCTAAAGGGCCTTCTCAGTGTTAAGCGGTTCGATACAATCGCGTTGAGCCATCATTTTGCTTGTACAGAGGCCGAGGGCCTGAAACTGCACCGGCCTAGGGGGACTCTACATCTAGATGGTACGAAGTTCGAGGTTTGGTTGGAATGGAAATCAATAGAGAACATTGCTAGAGGCTCTGTTCAGGACAAAGATTCCAGGTTGCGAACCGCAGTTCTTGCACAGATGCTTCACAGCAACAAGCCCCGACACCTTTATTCGCCAAATTGCATTGGATATGTGGACGATCGTGATAAGCACAACCGATACGGATGGATATTCATGATGCCTGAGGGGTCGGCCAAAGGCACCGCGTTGAAGACTCTTCACAGTATCCTGGGCCATGACTACCTTAAGCCAACTCTCGCGCAACGGATTTCTCTCGCTTGGAAGCTGGCATCCTCTCTCCAGTATCTGCACCTGGCGGATTGGCTTCATAAAGGAATCCATAGTGGCAATATCATTTTTCCGTTTGACGAGGAGACTTTTGATGTCGAGAAACCAATCCTGTCGGGATTTGAGTATTCGAGACCAGAGAGCAATAAAACGACTTCTCGCAGTCTTGACCCTAAATGGGACATATATCGATGGCCAGGCATTCAGAATGAGGCGCCGAAAACGACAAATTCTCGGAAGACGTATGATACTTATAGTTTTGGCTTGATTCTTCTCGAGATCGCGCATTGGCAACCGTTGCACAAGATAATGTGTCTTAAAAGATGGCCAGAGCCGTCTTCTCAAGACGCAAGAATCCGCGCCTGGCTTTTGGGAGAGGAGCGCTTTCCACCCTTCAAAGGTACAAATCCCTTGCTTGAATTGCGCAATATTGCCGGCGACAAGTACTGGAAAGCGGCCACCCGTTGTCTTATAGCACATGGCGAAATGGGGCTACAAACTCAAGAGTCTGATCAGACACATTGCGGTGAGGTCGGAGTTCGACTACAGGAAGCATTCGACAAGTTCGTAGTTGAGGAGTTGAAGGGTGTCTCCATCTGAGTTCCAAAGAACTTATAACTTCGCTTGCATCCGGAAAGACGTGCTATTTGCTTGGACTAACATAATATACTTGTCAATGATTCCATATTCTTAGATCAGACCGTTGAGGCAACTACACCAAAGAACAACGATAGAATTTAAACTGTATCATCAGAAAATTTCTGGAACACGTCGAATAATCACTGAATTAGAGCTTCACATGCTAAACTAATTCTTTTATATGTCTTTCCAATAGGTCTAATACATTAGAGTGATCCCGCCTAGCTGCAAAGTGGAACGCAGTATCTCCATCGAGGTCTTCTGTGTCGACATCGGCATTTCCCTCTAGTAGCACTCTGATAATGCTTTCGCATCCTTGACCTGCTGCGCCATGAAGTGCTGTTTGTTCGTTTTCGTCTTTTGCGTTTACATTGGCGCCGTTTTTCAGTAATAGTTTGATCACATCCTCATGTCCATTCCGAGCTGCACAATGAAGTGCTGTTTGTCCGACAGGGTTCGGAACGTCAACATTGGTACCGTCATCTAACAGTGCCTGCACAATAGCGGTAGATCCACGTGCGGCAGCATGGTGAATTGCGCTGATAGTGTTGGGGTCCGCCCCGGCTTTTAACAGGCGTTCCACGTCGTCCTTTGAGCCCCTTGTGCATGCCTCAACTAACTTATTGTCTTCAGTCATGGCTGCGACACTTTCACAATTGCAAGCCATGCATTCACCAGATACTGAGAACGACGACCAAATCGAATCTAGCTCTTCAGCTACGGGGCGTTGAGACCGATCGGGGTGTAACATTCTCTGACAGGAAGAAAGAATGGTGGCTTGCCAGTCGACCGGATGAAGATTTTCATGTATCCATTCATGAATCTCGAGAATATTTTTGGCATAAGATGAAGTTTGTGAAGATGACGTCTTCAAGACCTCACTAAGCTCTGTGTACCCATCAGGATAGGTATGAGCAACAAGCATCTCGAGGAAGACAGCACCCAAGGAAAAAATATCTGCCGACCGGCCACGTGTCCTACCCTCATCCACTTCAGGAGCGCAGTATTCCCGTGTCCTCTGGGAATTACGTTGCAAGTTTGTGGTTGGCATTGTCTTCCCAAGGCCCATTTGTGATATACCAAAGTCTGCCAAGAGCACTTGTTGGTCTTTTATCAAAATATTGCTGGGTTTGATGTCACGGTGTCGAATACCCAAAGTATGGATGTGATGTATTACCCCGATCAAACATCCGAACCACCGTTTACTGGGGGTCTTCCCAGGCTTGAGATATTCGTGTAGATTCCCATCTGCACGATCCATAATGACCGCAAATTTTATTTCTTCCTCATTTCCTTTCTCGAAGTAAGTGTGGATGAGTCGGATGACATGGTGGTGACGAGCGTAGTGGAGTATTTTTGCTTCTTGTATAAGTTTGCGCTTTTTAACGTCTTGTGA